ATTTTTGCTTTTAGACTGATGCTATTTTTAGATAGAACAGTTTGTTATTGACAAAAAGTGTACATTCACTTTTTTCCTAACTCTTATAGTTTCATGGCAAAATTGCTTTTTCGGAAGGGTGCTTCTGGATTCTGTCGATAAACTTTATAGACGTTCCTCATAAAACCTAAAAAAATATAGTACCTATTAAAATTGGTCTTAGTCTCGAGTATGTGTGAGTCAAATAAGCCTTTTTGTCTCCCCTTCCCTTGGGTTTAACCAATATGCCACTCTTGCGCTGAGGTCACCAATGCATAGGCCTTGATAAGATCTATGAGGCACACTATACTATTTTCACACAACGTTTGTAACCCATCTAGCGGGAGTTTAGCCTAACCCATCCTAAAACGAAGGTAGTACGATATGCATGGAAAATTATGCAGATGCGATGCATGTAGATGTTACATCGTATTATATGGTTTTAGTTTAGTAAGTCCGTGCGAAGGTTGTGCAGCACCTTACGGCTTCAAACATGCGATGATGTTGTCGACTGATTCTTCTCAGTTTTCAGTAAGTCCGCAAGAGAAATTCAGTTAACAAAGCTTCTCGAACTATTAACAGTGATTTACTTCATGGTATCTCGTCGAATTGTAACAAATCAGTTAATAATTTATAAAACTTATCACCTCTAAATGATCGCTACTCATTCATCGTTACACATTTTATTGATAGAGAATTGCATTGGCTTTAGCTGGAAGAACTATATGAAGTATGGAAAACGGAACAAATAAAATTATTTTTGCTGTTGAATGCGCTGCTAACATTGTAACTCTTTATTTTTTTAATTTTATAACCATATATTGTTTCTAACCTAAAGTGGGCTGTGTAAGCGGTATCAGGAGGCTGAAATCAATATTTTTCCGTTCAATAACTTTTTAACTTCATGTACTTCTACTGCTTTGTTTCATTGTCATGATCATGTTTTATCTGGCTTAGATGGTACAATGGGGATATTACAAGGTGAAAAATATTGATTTTTCTCCCTCAAAACAGATTATTAAAATGAACGAATCATTTTACTGTATGTACAGAATGTTTGCATGTATTGTGTACTGACCACTAACGGTAATATATTTTAGTAAATAGACTCCGCATATTCGAAAACTTTTAATTATAAAAAATTGCAAATCCTAAGCATGTAACAAATTTTTTATTGTGATAATTTTTGGAACAATGGAACTCTAATAATAAGGTGTTATTCTGCATCCTTTTAAGTGTTTCATTACCAATTTCTATAGACATTTTAAATTTTTAGTACAACGTTAGAAATATCATAACAGTTTCTATTAAACAGATACCTACACGAAAAGAGAGTTTTTTGTGTGGTAGACTACACTCCCCTACCCCATGTATATTGAGCTGCTGAATACGAATCTGACATAAGAATTGCACTATCAGGTCAAGATTTTTATCTAACCTAAAAAAATAGGTCAAAAAAGCAAAAAATGGTGTTTATTTCTGATGAAAAGCTATGTAGCTGACTTATGAGAAACAACCGTATAAGTTAATGAACATGGATACTTAAGTAGGTTGATCTCTAAACATATAGGTTAGAATTCCAACTAACTTTGAAACTTTGTTGTTAACTTTGAGGATACACACATAGATCTATCAAAAAATCCGTAGAAATTCGTAACACAAATTACAAAATCTGTAAAACAATCCGTAAAAATTAAACTCGAAATTCTTGGAAATGATTAATTTTCCTCCTTTTGAGGTTAACTATGTTAAAAAATGTTTTAAGTATTCCAGTTTGCAAAAGTGAAACTAGTAGTGACCATTGATTTTATGATAGTGACATTAGATACACCTTGTTTTATTTACGTCAGATCTCAGTTATCTTACCTAATTGGAGCAGCATTCACAATAGTTGAAATCTGAGATAAATAAAACACTGCTAATTTATTAGCTACGCATCAAATGGTCCCTGTAGCACACTGTCTTAGATTTACCATAGACGGCCTAAACTCTGTTAACTGTGTGCAATATTAGGAATTAAACGAACTCTCTTTTCCAAATGGCATTTCGCAAATCTTTATTTATGACTGTTATGTTGTGTCGTGTTTTACAAGTTATTTTGTAAGAGAAATTTGAAATCTGAACAGTAGTCTTCTTAAAAATAAGCAGAAAAAGAATGAAATATGGAATAGGATTTAAGAACTTACTGAGATTTAGAATCTATCACATTCACAATCGCCAAATTGAATTAAGAATAACAACATAGGCATATTTATTAAAACCATAAACAATCCGTAGATTTATAGTATTTATCTGAAAATCTGAGATCATGTCAAAAATCCGTAGATCTACGGATAAATCCGTAGGGTTAACAACACTGCTTTGAAAAGATAATAGCTTTGTTCATAGAGAATTCTAAAACACTTCCCAACAGCCAGACGCATGTGCATTCCGATGTAATACTTATAGGCCAAGCAAATAAAATTTTTACTCGAAAAAAGTACAATCCTCGAGATTATTGTAAAATTGTCTAAAGGAACATAATACAAGACAACTCTCATCTCGTGAGTCAAAAAATTTTATTAGCTAACTTTTCTATTTAAACAAATAAGTGAGGAAAACAGTTTTTTCACTATGCAGGGAAAACCATCAATTTTAGCGAAAAGTGACTCTCAGACAGCTTGTAGGGAGTAAAATGAGACTTGTTAAATTAAAATCGGTTAATAAACAAAAAAGTTATTGCAAAAAAACAAGAAAAGTGCCCATTTTTAAATTTGTTTACTATCGCATTTATTGTTAAAATTTTATAAAACCTATGACAAGTTGAGGGTTTTGTCATACTT